CACACAAACAACATGGTTAAAAACACACAAACAACATGGTTAAAAACACACAAACAACATGGTTAAAAACACACAAACAACATGGTTAAAAACACACAAATAACATACCTTAATTTCTACTTTATCTCCTTCATGGAAGTCCTGAGGAGCGACTCCGGGGACGTAGAAGGTTCGGACTCCAGGCAGTGAGAACAGCAGCAGTAAGGCCCACCACGTCTCCTGCAGGGACACCAATTCAAGACGTTTACACTTAAATCTTTTTCATACAACCTAACTGGAGAAATATTGGGAAAAATAACACCTCAGATCAACAAACAGGAACTTGATTGATATTCAACACAAGTCAAAGTAACTTTCAAAACAAATCCAGGAAGTAAAGAGAACCGTACGAGTCYTTTTGCTAAACAAATCTTTGTAACCAGACTTTAGGAGGATTAGGTCACACTCAGCAAACCGGAGCAGCGACAGAGTTTATTCATCCAGAAAGACATGTGGACAATTCTGAGATCTAGGGTCGGGCAATAAATCGATTTAATCGAATTTGCCATTTATAAAAATTTAATTTTGGGAAAATCAGGATTTTTTAACCACCAGTGCACTTCAAACGTTGCACCAAATGTTGCACCAGTGCACTCTTTGGGGCTTCTGTAGTTTTCTGTAGTTCAGAGGTCACCTCACCTGTCCCTCAAGACGTTTGGTACATGACATGACAACATGGCAGCTAGCAAAGAGGAACTACTTCTCAAAAAAAAAAAAAGGGCACTGTTCAGTTTTCTGTAACTGGTGAGGTTTTACAAGCTCAGACTTAGAGCAACAAACACCTCACTGCAAAACCTGTTTGAAGGCTCTTGTTACAAAAAGCAGGAGAACAACAAATTTGTTTCAACATCTGAAACAGCCACTTGGTTAAGTGGGAAAAAAATCGATTAAAATCAAAACTTAATTTGGGATGAAAAAACTGGGAGGGTTTTGTTTTTTTTTTGGGTTATAACGTCCAGCTCTACTGAGTTTACAATATTTTATTGGAAAGAGATGAAAGAGGTAGAATAAAGGAGATGTCGACTCAGCTGAATTTATCCTCTACGTCAGCAGTCCCCAACCCCCGGGGTGTGGGTRGTTTGGTACCGGGCCGCACAGAAAGAATAAATAACTTACTTTTTTTTGTCGTATTTATTGAGTTTGAACAATGTTTTATTTTGAGCTTCATATCTTTATCTATTACTGATAAAAAAAACATTTTCATTATTTTACCTTGAACTAAGACAACTGAGTGAAGTTATCTTAAATAAACAACCATAAAATGATGTAACAACAAGGGATACAACTAACGATTATTTTAATAATKGATTAATCTGTTGATTATTTTTTCGATTAATCGGCCAAATCATTAAAACGCTTAATTACATGAATACGAGTAGATATAAATTAAGTTAACTC